TAGGTGTATTTTTAGTTTTAAATGATGTACAGTAATTTTAGCTGGCTGACAATAAAGTATTAAGATGGCCTGTCTGAGAAAACCAGGCAGGTGTGGGAGAATGAGGGTCGGCAAATATTGCTTATATTTTGAGGTTTTAATTAGGCCAGTGTATGATTACTATACATAGCATTTAAAATTTTCTTCGAACCCCCCCCCCCTGCAGTGAAATACCGCACCCCCTTAAAATATAGACCCGGATGCCACTATTTCAAGTGGTGAAAACTTTAAATATATGCCATGTTCCATATAAGTTAATGATAAAGAAATTGAAACGGTTAATGAACATAAATATTTAGGAATTGTTATAGATAAAGACATGAACTGGAATGCAAATACATTAAATATTGTAAAGAAAGCTAGTCAACGTATGTATATGCTAGGAAAACTAAAGTCGTTCAATGTGTGTAATGAAATATTATCACTATTCTATCATAGTACAATTTTAGTGTAGCATGGTACAACAGCCTTACTGAGTACAATAAGATGAAAATTGATCGAATCACAAAAAATGCCCGCAAGTTGATTGAAAATGATGTAAATAAGGTTGAAGATGTCTATGAGAGAGAGGCCATACTCATTTAAAGAAAATTCTAGAAGACAACTTCCATCCGCTACATAAGGAACTCATTATCTGTAGATCTGGCCGACTACTTCCTATGAAATGTAAAACAAATAGATGCAGAAAATCATTTGTGCATAATTCCATCAACTTACACAACTCTAAATTTAAAAGATAATCCATATTTATTTGCTTGAACGACATGTATATATGTAAAATGGTTTTGTGATAACGTAATTTATTTATTTTTTATTTCGCCTTATGTATGTTTTTATCTAGTAGTTAAGATTTCAAGTGTCAACAGGAAAAATTTCATGTATACTTCATTGTAAACGTGACAATAAAGAAAATCTTATCTTATCTTATCTTATGTTCAGGAGAGGCAAAGATAAGGAAGAAAACTTTCGTTTGAATTTATATTATACATATGTAAAGGCAATATATTTGTCTTTGAAAACAAAAACAAACGAAACAAAAAGAAGCATTGGGTCATTCCATTTTTCAGGGAAGAATTTGCCCTATTTTGCAATTTTGAAAAATTGTGCAAAATACAATATTTTCCCAATTTTTAAAAATAGATTGCCAGAATCCCACAATCTCTACACGTCTAATTCTTTCTACAAATAAAGTTTGATTATAGGTTATTTGTAAACAAAAACAAAAATCACTGAGACTTTTGTCCATTTCAAATACCCTCCAGCAAAATGTGGCATTTTTTGAAAATTAGAAAAAACACAAATCTTGATTGGGTGCGTAAAAGGTTTACATACTAACAGTATGATGTAGAAACATTGTCAATGTACCATATTTATATGTAAATTATTCAATTTCCCATGATTCATGAATGGGTTATTCCATTATGACATAGGGGTGTTTAGTAAAACTTGTGAAATGAGCTCTTAAATCAGTCTCAATGTGTTTGTTTACTACAAATATGATGTGAAAAAAAAACAAGAATGATAATCTGTTTTAATTTATCACCTGTTCAGTACAGGAAATATTAGAGAATCATTGTTATTTCAAAATCGCCATTTTTGATGGCTGAAAAGTTGTATGAGGTTGGGGTCGAAAAAAAAAACACCTTTTATTCAATTAACGTTCTTTATTTATATTTTATATCAAAGGGTTGTAATTTTTCCAAAAAAATCAATAATTTAATATTTAGAATGGTAATTTACTTTTTTTCCCTAACATGTTTTGTTTTGATAATGAAACAGACCGTTTAGAAATCCGTGATATTCTCTTTGGACAGTGAAATATTAGCAACCCAATTATGTATAGACGACACACAAGATAAAAAATCAGTTTAAAATTAAAGACTTGATTGAAATTTGTGATGAACATGACATTAAACCATTGGGTCCCAAGTCAAGGAAAGACAGCTGTGTTAAGTCACTTCAGTCATTCATTGAACATTGTGTTTGCTTTAAACATCAGATTGATCTATGTATTAATGCTGCTTAATGTTTCAGAAAGTATAAAAAATGTATATTTATCATATGGAAATGTTGTATCATTTGCTCTCCAAGGTCGCCTTAACCATTGGAGAAAACTGGATTTTTTTTCACAAAAGTACATTTTTGGTACAAAATCTATGATTTTCTTGTTAATGGCCCAAGCGGATTATGATTACAGATTTGTCGGAATACGCCGATTTATAACAGCTCCTCACGCCGATTTAGTAGATGGGGAATTTCAATAAATTTGAAGTTTTTGGCTGTTCCGAGCTCGTTTCTTACTCCCTCACTCACAGAATTGGCCCCCCAAGTGGATTCGTAGAGGGAATATAAGCTTGAAGCTGATATAAAACTTAGTATGATTGGTTGGGTAGTTTTATCGGAAAATAAGAAAATGTAAAATCCATCCAAAGCCACGATTGCCTCTCACGGGGTCAAAAAATCTCTCAAGCATGATAGTCCGATTCACTGCTATGACGGCATACTTCTGTTTGCTTGTTTTTTTTGTGTTTGACTTCTTTCTTCATGGAATTTGGCCTAATTTAGTTATCAGTTGGATTTTTTGTGTGCTTTTATTACCTATATTGAAAAAACAAATGTCGCAATACAAGATACTTGCAGCAATTAGTTCATATTTCTAATATGATAATGATAATTAACTCTTTTTTAGCTTGAAGTCAATAGACTGTTGAAAATAAGTGGTGCAAATTTGATACCAGTATTTGATGCCAAAACAGTGCATGTTAAAATCAAGAGTAAGTCAGAAAATATTTATTTTTTAATAATTATGATGGAATGCTTGATTGATGGTGTTTATGATAGTGAATGGTTTTAAGTTTTCCACCTGTGTCCATGCATTTGTGTACAAATTATCTCAAGTCCTGGCTTAGTAAAGCTACAGTAGAAATAATTAAAGGGGAGCTCTAGGTTTGAAATTTCTCCCAATATAGATCCTTCATTATGATTAGTTACTTGCTGAAAGGAATTTCACAAGTGTTTGGAGCACAGTAGTGCAGAACGAGCGCTGCAACCTGGGTCCCTAAATACAAGTGGTGGCATTACTCAAAATTTGTATAAGGAAAATTACTAAAATTTAGGCTCGCTAACACCAAAAGAAAACACATCCATTTTATCAATTCGTATGTAACTTTATCTGATCTTTTCATAAGGGTTTTATTTTAATGAAAATGCCTCATTTTTATATTAAATTAGAATAGAACCCACTTTTTGTTTCAGTAATTAAAAGTCAGTCATATGGTTCAATCATACTGAGCAATCACAAGAACTTGTCAACGGGGAAAATACATTGCGAGGGAAATAACTTGGCTCTCGTGGTTTCTAAATAGGACGTTGTTTCTGAATCAGTGTTATGTATACTGTAAATGTAAAAACGGTAAGAGAAAAGACTATAAATGCATAGGCCTATATATACGTTTGAGCAAAATGAAATTCCTGCTTAGTAAAGACTGAAGCTTAAGGTTTGAATGCACAGCTGTTATCAGCACCACTAACACACACATATGGCCTAGGCCCTTTCTGGCTTTGCCCTACATGTCGGATATGCACTATGGCCTATTTTTATTTTAGTATACAACTTAAATTTTTATATATTGTGCCTAATACTGAATGGTTAGTATTTACTAACAGAAACGTTAGGACATTATAATCAAACTGTTGTTTTCAGAGCAAAAATATTACCATCAACTGAGATTTGTAGCACAAGCCAGATGTAGTTTATTCTTTCACAATTTTTGCGTTTTTTTTTTCTTCTTCATATTTTTCATAGTTTTATACACTCACATATTCATTTGTTTTAGGGCTAGTCTAGGCTAGACCTCGGCTATCAGTGCCTTTTAGTATTACTATATTATTTAAATATACAATTTTAATAGATAAGATTAATTTAACATGGACATGAACCCAGTACCGTTACGATTTTAATCGTACGGGAAATATCCTCAAGAGCAAATCTGATAGACCTAGCTCTCACTGGAAGTGGTCAACAAATGGTTTATTCAACATTATTTTGATAGTTCATTCTATTATTCATTCTCTTAACACTGTAATAACCTAGGAATTCAGGGCTTCAGTACGGTTCCGACGAATTACCCAAATGATATGGATACACAAATTATACCCTAATGATACAGAATTATGCAAATAAACATCCAAATGATAGTGAATTACCAAAATGTGTGTAAATAACTACTGTAAGTATAAAGGGGGGGGGGGCAAAGGCATTGCAGCCTAGCCTACCATTTCACTAGGCTACACTGTCTTGTGGTAATACCTACATACCAAATCAGCTAGTAAGTATAAATTTATTAACATTGACCCTTTATCTTGTTAATAATTAATTACGGTTCAGATATTCAATAAGCATCTATTATTTGTTTGTTTGTTTGTTTTTGTCACTTGGGCTGTCAAAAAATGATAGCAAACTGCTCTATTTTTATTTTTAATTCTACAGTTTAACTTGCATTAGTTAAATCCAAAATGCCAGTGAAAAATGTTTTGACTTGGATGAAATTTGACTTTAGAGAGTTAAGCAGTCAATGTCATTTGGGTAATTCTATATTTGGTAATTCATCGGACCGGTGCACAGTGGGCCAGACTGAAGTCAAAGTGTGCCAAAATTAATTACTCATTACAGAAGCAAATCTAAGCAAGTACAAGACTTATTTAGAGGTTTTCATACCCGTAGAATTCAATAAAAGCATTTTCAAATCTATATGACGTCATTTTTGTACTGTTTTCTTATTGGACGGTGTCAGTTTTCATTGTAATACCAAAACAAGTTCATATTGCAATGATTTTTGAAATGTTTAAGAAGGTTTGGGACAAAAGAACTTCTGTGGGAAACTTTTTATATTTTCCATGATGTCATCAAAGTACATTTTTCTGATTGGACGGGGCCAAAAGTGTTTTAGGCATAGGCCAACATTAAAATTTCTATTGTTAATCTTACAGTGAATATAGATGTTTTTTTTTTAATAAATCGAAATCGAAATCAATTTTATAATAATACCAGACAACCTAATTTTACATTTTTTAAATCTAAAATGTCTTTGCATTTGAAATTCCTTGGAATTATCAGACATTAGGCCTACACCAATGTCATGATATATTAATTCCGTCCTCAATCATATTAAGCCTATATTGTAAAAGTATCGATAATGGTCGTTTTATGTCTTTTTTGATAATTCTCAGTGTGAACAAGGAGGCTTTGAAGAGGAACTTTTGCTATCGTCTTTGACAGGTATACTGTACCACCAGGATAGCAATGCTTTTTTGCTACTCTTATTTTGGTGTAAGAAGGCGTCTCATTTTACTATAGAGCTACAAAGATGGACAATTTTTCATCTGTCGTGAACGATTCCGGTTTGCTCCTCAGGGGTGACGCCAGCAGGGGGAGGGGAAGGGGAAGGGAAAATTGATTCTTCTTGAACGCCCCTTGCAATGCTGCGTAAAGAAGTTCAGTGCATACATTTTATGTCAACATCTCTTGTACATTACCCTTATGCAAACTCTCTGGAAAGATCCCCCTATACTTCGATAGGACGTCCCGGTTTGGGTTGTTTTTAAGTCTCTTGTGTGTTTTCTGCTGGTGTGGAAAGAATATCTCTGTTCTGTGTCAAAACATTAATAAATTCATCAGAAAATGGAATCCTGTTGTCAAGCCACGAGTTATTTTCTTTAGAAACCCGGCAAACACGTGTTTACGTTCTTATAATTTTCTTGGTCAATGTTGTGGTTAGGTATGTCACAAAAATAACGTTTACACAACGTTGTAGGAACATGCAAACGTTGTGAAATTATGATCAGTACGTATTTATGGTTCTACTAAATAAAGTTTTCAACACAAAACTCTAACGTTATTGTCACGTTATCATAACGTATTATTGTTTGCTGGGAAGGTCGTTACTACTCGCACAGTAGCTCACCTCTCCTTAAGTTGAAACAGGAAGCTTTCAAAATCTTGGATGTCTTTGAATAAAGTTAAAAACAACTGACGCCTAGATATAGGCCAGCTTGTAGATATCATCTTCATTATGATATATGATATTTGGATTATTAGGCCGCTCAAAATGTAATAAAGTATTCTAAACTGCAACACAATATTAGATGATTTGCTACTGTTAAATCACGAGCAGTTTGTAAATTTTTGGAGAGCTTTTCCCACGCTTTGCATGAACTGGTAGAGTAGACGCGCGTACATCCCTCTGATTTGCAGTTTGCTCTAATTAAATTGTGTCTCAAATGTACGAAAACAAGACTAATATAAGTGCATCTAGCTCGAAAAGTTGCAAAAAGTAGCAGCTAAATTTGGTACCATCATAAAGCTAAGGCTATACTGAAGATGATGATGTAAAAATTAAAGCATGAATCCACATGAATCTAAACTTTCTCTCCTACTTTTCTAAAAATAGATTTTTAAATATTTTTTCTGTCGTTTAAACAACGATTTATTATTGATGCAAACTTCAAATGTAAACCAAAACATATATTTGTGTTCCCCAATTTATATACAAGAAACGTGTACATTTTGAAGTAATTCCGAATTGACTAAGAAAAAAAACGTGGTTTGATATAATGTAGTAAATTATAGCATTTGAAATATTTATAGAGAAATTTCCGACATTTGTTGAAAAATACTACCCTTAAAATACGTTTAAATGTAAAATATTTTCAGGATAGATTATCCAGGGTATACCCATCTTCAATCATGTGAAAAAAAGTGTAAAAGCCATAGTCACCAAAATGGACTTTTGGCACACTTTGATTTCGCCCTGGCCCACTGTGCGGTGTATAGAAACTGAGGTGTGTTTTTTTTTTATACATTTACAGGCCGTTCATTTACGAGGTGGTCTGCTGTCGACACTATGTATGTTACAAATTATTTTAACAGCTACATACATGATGACTCGGAAAATGCAAAAGGGTCATTGCCTGGTAAGTAAAATGGAGAAATGAATCACTTTTACACTTAGCTATAATTCATTATTTGGTTGAACAAAGAGATGTATTGGCCCGTTCTCCACATTCGGATAGTAAAATGTATACTCCAAGTATCGAAATGCACGCCATATTGTACTCCAGACATTCTACAAAATGTAGGGATTTCTTTACTAATCCATGGCAAATTATTTAGACTGCGGGGCGTTATACTTATAATTTACTCTAAAATTCACACCTGATTTAGGATTGTCACCAAAATTTCATAATTTATCATGGGCGGCGGAACCGGGGGGCCGGGGGGCTCGGTCCCCCCCCCCACTTTTTGACGAAAAATATATAATGTCTGGAGAACTTTGTATGATCGGAAATGCAAAAAAAGAAGGAGGGAAGAAGGAGAAGTATGGGAAAGAGAATGTTTATCCAGTACCCGACCAGTTACATTTTCTCGCAATTCACATTGGCGGATCTGGGAGGACGGGATCATGGGTCCTGACCCCTCCCTTGTGCAACAAAAAAAAGGGGAAAAAGGAAAGGATTCTAGACCTACCTTTTCAGGACCCGTGAGCTGAATTTTTTTTTTTTTTTTTTGCTATTAGAAAATTAGAATTTTGAAGAACATAAAATTCATTAAAACACACTTCAAATGTCGGGAAAGCTCAATTCCTGCCATCTAGGAATTAAAATTTTCCCGGGGGAGAACCCCCGGACCACCCTTTCTTTTTGGGATTTATCGATTCATGGAAAAAAAATTACGCATGCAACTACTCATTTGTTTATGTATGTATACACACATAAAATAAAAAATGAGAAAAATTTACCTGACCTTTATAAAGAGGGGAAAACCTTGAATTTTTAAGAACTTTAAAAGTCATTAAAAGACATTTCAGAAGTCTAGTAAGCTCATCTCCTGCCATCTAGAAATCGAAATTTTTCCGGGGAACCCGGACCCTTTATCTTTGGAGTTCATTGATTAATTGAATCATTTTCAAGGGGTGGGGGGGAACCTTGAAATTTGAAGAATTTAAAAGTCATTAAAAGACACCACAAAAGTCGGGGAAAGCTCATTTCCCGCCATCTAGGAATCAAAATTTTCCCGGGGAAGAACCACAGGACCTCCCCACCCCCACCTTTGAATCGTCCTCATATCCACTCTGGATTGTAACAAAAATTTAATCTTTGCTTTATTGGACTATGACAAATGATATTGGACTGTTTCATTTAGGTCCATTTATAGGTCAATTTAAATATTTAGGTCTGGTATATTAGAAAATGTAGATGGCCCTCAAATTTACACCCTACTGAAATAGGATCTTCAAAAATTTTTAATTTCTTGTAATTTGGTTTAAACTTTCCCAAAAGTTTCATTCTGATTCTGGCTACGGTCACACTAGCGTCTCAAGCCTGGCTTGACTCACCGCGGGTGAGATTTCAAGCCAGGCTCGAAAATTCTGGGTCGGTCACACTAGTTGGATTGACCTCCAAATTATGAAAGTCGAAACAGCAGAGCCGTAGAGAGAGAGTTTGGCCAACTCTGTTTCACGGGATTCGATATACGCGCGTGTGATTGGGT